GTCGGAGAAAGACACTGCGGCAACAGGAAAACAGTATTTCCAGCTGCTGAATGTTTCCATCTTCCAAACTAGTTTCCTCCACAATTACAAAATGAATCCAAGCATGTGATTGGATTGTTGGATTTCAAACCAGGTAGGCGGTGACAACAAAAGTAATTGAGTAACTAATCATTTTTTGAGGCCGGTAACATACAATATTATTACTGAGATTTATTAGTAATTAGTTACACTATCAGTTACTGGGGAGAGTAATATGATTACTAGTAATGAGTTACTACTGAGTCACAGTAACCCTCCCAACCCTGACCATCTCACACAGCTGTAATGAGTTGGTTGCACTGCACTGAAGAGGGCCAGGTCCAGGTCCAGGTCCAGGGCCAGGGCCAGATCCAGGGCCCGGGGTTTAGGGTAAGCTCCTGGTACTGTTGATGCTGGCTTCCTGACATTAAATGCACTTTAATGGAGAGGAGCCATAATTAATGTAATTAGTTACAACTCTGCTCTTCTTATGTCAAAGGTGTGCTGACAAAGGTCGATTATAGTAGCAAAAGCATTTCCAACTCTTCAATACGGAAAGCCCATACGAGCAGCCTTCTTCACAGTGACACCCAGCAGTACCGTTACCTCCGCCGGTATCTAACTTACTGCACTGTTGTCAGCTCTCCTGTTAACGCTAGGTCATCAGTTAATAAGCCGAGCGTTACAGCTCTCCGACATTACTTTATTTGAAGTATAGCTGCCAGCTTAGGCAGTCACAGCGCTCGTTCGGACGCGGACACACCGCCGAGCTGAAGCTGAAGCAGTGTGTCTGGTGCTGATGCTGCAGGCTGCAGACTCAACGCTAACGTTAGCTGAAGCTAGCATAGTGGCTACAGAAGGCCTAGCTTACCGTTTTCCTGTCGTCTGAGTCCGGGGCTGTCTGTAGAATATCTGATAGTCCATTCATCGCTCTAAAGCCACGGCTGTTTCATCGCGGGCACGTAGCAAACCGGGGTTTTCCTCTAGCCACATCATTTTGGTCAGCTAAGTACAGCTAGCTCACTAGCTAACTTAGCAACCTGACGTGTTGTCGTGTAGAACGGTGCCGTTAGGTCACGTGACCACAGGCAGAGCTCAGTTGGCGTGTTTTCTTCATCGTGTGGTGGTAGCGTTAGTTTGGACCTTCAGTTGTTTACAGCCAGTTGTTTACCGACTAGTGCTGAACGTATTTGATGAATGACATTGCACGGGAATGTGGAAACAGAAGATTTCCTCTGGTCTCCGGCGGTGAAACGTTCTGTTCCACACTAACAACTCTGTACTTTACATCGTTTACGCTTTTTATTATGGAAGCCCATTTCCGCCAATGTGACGGGGAAATGGTTCTGTAAGTCATTATAATGAGACACTCAAAATAATGACACAATCACAATATTTTGACATATTATCTCCAAAATAATGCTTTTGATTCTGAATCATTATTTTGAGATACTTAGTCAATATTATGAGAACGTTTCTCGTTATAATGACATACATGCCTTTTGGCTTCCGTAGTTTTCCATTCTATTAAAATTTGTTTGAATAATTCTAAGTGTTTTTTGTAATCCCAGTAATCCATAACAATGCTTTACCCTACCTGGCACTGTTTTGTATGTGTTTATGGGTGTTACACTGCATCTGCTGCAACTGGCTGACACCATCAGGATTCCTGAGAGGATTATTTCTCTGAAGTCTTTTGCTGCTGCCTAGTGGCTGTTTATTAAGATGATGATGCTGAGTTGGGATATCAGGACAGCATCAAGTACTAACACTAACACTGAAAATCTACAAATATTAGATTGATGAATGTATTTCCATAGTGTTTGAGCAATATCGATCAGTACAGTCGGCGTATACCATCTAAAATCGGGACATTTTTGCATACAAAAAGATATAAAGATGCTTTAGGCTGGTGGCTTGAAGATAGTTGGGATTATTAAAGTATTTCTGATTCTGATTCTGATTGTTAAGTCTCATTTCCAGTGTTGGTATGTCTGGGAATGAGACTCAACTGTCTTTCTTGTTTGTTCGTCCAGGCCCGCTGGATTCTTGCAAATGCCATTAGAAGCACTAGGAGGAGCCAGAGGAACCTGATTGTTTCACAGATTATCTGTCTCATGTTCTACTGCTCTGACTAAGTGACACTATTTTGAACTCGTCTCTCTGTTT